CGCTTTTGCCACTGAACTATATCCCCAACCCAGTGTATGCCTGTTATTCCAGCACTCTGGGAGGCTGAGGCAGGAGCATCTTAAATCTGACCCTGGCCTAGGCCATTTAGCAACTTTGCAAGACCCTGTCTCAAAGTTAAAAATGAAAAAAATTATCTGGGGATGTAGCTCAGGGCAAGACCCCGGGCTCTGAAAAACGACAAAAGAGAAGAAAAGACAACAGACACACACGTGAGGGAAAACATAGGCCGTGAGGAGAGCATAGAGAGCGAGGGTGCTGTCAATATGTTAGGTTCGAATCGTGTCAACAGTTTAACTTAACAATAATGCACGATGACATCCCAAGAAGCAGCGATAGTCATAATGATGCCCTCTTTGAGCTCGTGCCCGTGTTGCCCACTGAGGGCCACCACGTAGTCACTGCCCTCGCCAGGGACCTGGGGATATGGGCAGCAGCATCTACATTCACTCCTACTCACCCTCTTAGAAAACGGAGGCTCAAAGGGGTCAAACAACTTACCTAAGATCACACAGCAAAGACAAGAACCTCGGTGTGTCTGAGTGCAGAGTCTGGCTCTTGACATTGCTCTTGGTTTGTCTCCACACTATGCAAGAATCGCAGCCCTCACTCCTCCTCCAGCCCTGGCACATGCCCCGCCAGTCTAGTCTGTACCCCACATGGGACAGTGGTGCTGCCCCTGGAACAGCCCACCCACAGAGAGTCCAGCCCTGGGTTTTCAAGAACCTAAGTTGCCTGGTAACTTGGAGAGGTACCCTGAGCCTCAGCTGCTTCTTGCGAAAACGAGGCAGAGGCTCACAGCCCTTGGACGGCCAGCTCTTCCTGCCAGCTCCTGCCCTGTCCCTACCCCACCCCCCTCATTTCCTGCCTCCCTGGACTGTCACTCACCTGGCTTTGTCCCTGCAGGATGGGGGCAGGCCTGAGATGGCTGGCTGGAGCGTCCTCAGAGGTGAGGTTCATGCAGAGACGCCTACTCTTGCAGGAGCAGTGGAGCTCCGAAGGCCAGTGCACCCTCGGCTGGCCAGGATTTGGGCCACGGGCTGGGCCACTTTTCTCCCAGCTCACCAGCCCCACCCCTGTGAATAATACCAGTCGCCTCCAGGAGTGGAACTCACTGGGGCTTTGATGATCTGGGGGCACAAAGGGATGAGAGACACAGAAATGTCCAAGACCCACCCGGCCAGCCAGGCGTAGGGCGTAGAAACTCTGAACTTGCTGGCAGGAGGCACCTTCCCAACCCACCCTATGTGTCCCCAGTCTAGCAACAGCCCTCCAGGGCTCCATGCCCATCAACTCTCAGCACCCTCTGCCAGCCCCCGGCCAGGGCGGGCCCCTCCCCATTTCACCCCAGCCACAACAGTAATTAACGCCAATGAAGCCGGCGCATAAAGATCCGAATCACAGGAGGGAGGAACCATCACTGCCCCGGGCACGGGGAACTCCAGAGGGCTGGGGCAGGGCAAACCCCAACCCAGGCGACCTCGCCCTGCCCACTGCCATTGCCAGGGTGGATCTCAAGGTAGCCGGTCTGGGGGCTGGGAAGAGGCCGTTGCCTCCCAGTCCAGATAAAGCTTGGGAAGACTTGGGTTTGGACCACGTCTTCCCCACCATTTTAGTGTTTTAAAAAAGTCTTTGATTTCCATTCTCCTGAGCCTGTTTCCCTATCTTTCATTCACCTGTCCATTCACTGATTCCACAAATGCCTGCTGAACACTGCCCCAGGCCAGGTACCATGTGCTGTTCCAGGGAAGCAGGGCTGTCCAAACCCAGGTGGGACTTGCCCTCTGCCAGGCCCCAGCCCTTCTCTGGGAAGCGTGTTTTGCTCACCCACCAGCTGGTCCACACTGCACTCTGACTGGGTACAAGGCAGCGTGCTGGTCTGATGGGCGAGTGGGCTGGAGGTTATGGAAGAGGCTCAGTGAGATACAAGAAGTTGTGTGAGGGCTCCGTGCCCTTAGGAAGTTCACAGTGTGGTTGACTGTGGGGCAGAGTGCTGACTGCTCCTTCCCGGGTACTCAGGGTGGCTACAACTCCAAGTCTCCAAGTCTGCCTGTGGGTTGGCTTGGGTAGGCTGCCTGGGTTCTGGTCACTGGAGAATAGACAGAAGTGACAAGTGCTGAGCTCAAACTGCCTTCCCATGCTGTCCCTTCCATTGCCATGGTGATTGTGGTGGCCTAGTGTTGGACATGGGGTCACCACAAGATAGAAGGGAACTGAATGTGGTGTCATCAATTGAAGGAGGGCTGCCTGACCAATATTGTACTGTGATGTGAACAAGAAGTGACCCTGTATTGTGCTGAGATGCTGAGATGCCAGGTATGTTTGTTATAAAAGCTAATATTGCTTATACTGACTAATACAGGCAGACAACTCACGTACAAGGAATACCTTGACTCCTGTGGCTTAGCACAGCATGTGAGAGGGCTCATTGTCAAGCAGTGTGTGACCACTGTTGCCTAACCCCCTACCTGGTAGATGGCATGAGGTCAGAAGAGGGGAAGACATTGAAAGCCACAATGCTTAGAATATAGTAGGTGCTCAATAAAACAGGTTGAATGAGTGAAATACAGAGAATAATTATTGTGATGGCTGAATTCACCAAAAGCCCCTTACGAGGGATGGAGTTTGGTGGAGGTATAGGAGTGGAAGCAATTACTCTGGAAAGAAATACCTAGAGCTGAGAAAGGCCAGGCCCAGTCCATGGATCAGAGGCCACTGAGTAGTCAGTAGTTATACATATAAGGTTTTAAGTTTGAGGCCCTCAAAGACCATGCTGACTAGCACAGCCTGAAATCTAAAAAAACTTTATCAACAGTGTTAACACTCATAGTCTTTCGGCGTGGTCACCAAAGTGAGGTGTGCATAATAATCTATTGGCGTACAGGAATAAAATAATGCAACTTCTATTGACATTCATCTCACCTTTAAATATCTGTTTTTTTAGTGTCTGTGATAACACAGAGGCTTAGAACAGCCGAGTGACTCACCCAAAGTCACACAGCTGGGAAGTGCACCTGATTCCAAAGCCCATCCTGCCCTTCACATATGCTGAGCCTTGCACAGACAGGTGAGAAGCTGGGTGGGGAGAGAGGCAGGTCCAGGGGCGGGGACAGGGAGTGCAGGTGGTCCCAGCTCAGGCTGTCTCTGCCCTGGGCCAGTGCGAGCAGAGGTCAAGGAACCTGGCCTGCTCATCTGCCCCCAAAGCTGGTAGCAGGAGCCAAACAGATGGCTTCGGAGGCATGGGCCTGGGTCCCCCCACCCCAAGCCTCTCATCCCAGCATCTGACGACTCTTCCTCACCTCTAGGAGCAGGATCTGGAGCCGAAGGAGCAGGACAGTGGCTGAGAGGTCAGAATGGAGTGACAGGGGGATGGGAAAGAGGGGTCACTTAGACCCTGGTGACAGCTGACAGAACTGTGCTGGCCTCCTAGTCAGTCACTCATGCTCAGCTGCAAATGTCCATGGTGAAGAAAACCCAGGTGTCCCACTTTCCCAGGATTCACTTGCTGGATTTATAATGCACACCTCTGACTGACACTGCTGAAAGAACTTTATTTTTAAGGAACTGTACTTTATTTTTTACTTTATCTTACTTTATTACAATATTAGAGATGAACACAGGGCCTCATATGTGCTGGGCAAGTAGTCCTCCACTGAGCTACAGCTCCAGTTATTTTATTTTATGGGACAGTGACTTGCTAAATCGCCCAGGCTGGACTTGAACTTGTGATCCTCCTGCCTCAGGCTTCCCAAGCATTGCGGCAGGGATTGCAGGCATGCATCACTGTGCTTGGCTCAGAATTTTATTTTTATTTATTTATTTTTTTGTGGTACCGGGAATCGAACACATGACCTTGCACTTGCCAGGCGGGCGCTGTGCCACTGAGCTAAATCCCCAGCCCAGAATTTTATTTTTTAAAAATATGTAGGCTAGGGTGTAGCTCATCATTAGAGGGCTTGCCTAGACTGTATCACCAGGGTCTAAGCGACCCTTCTTTCCCACCCCATCTATCACTCTATTCTGACCTCCTCCTGCACGGCACAATAAAATAAATGCAAAAATGAAATCGTGATTAAAATATATGCATAGAGAAATGTAGTTAACAGTATATCATGAGGGCAGGTGGATTGTCTGGGTTATACAATGAGAACCTGTCTTAGAAAGAAAAAGAAAGAAAACAAAACAGAAGAGTATAACATGATGAGTTTTTCCAAACTGAACACATTCAAGGTTAACTGAGACTCAGATCAAGAAACAGAACATTTTCCAGCTCTCTCGTCTCTTTCCAGTCACTCCCCTGTGTTTAAAGATTACTGACTGTAACAGCCACCCTAGCTTTTAAGGCCATAGGCTAGTTTTGCCTGTGTTTGTTCAGAGGGTGCCAGAGATCTAACCTATGCTAGGCAAATATTCTACCACTGAGCCTCACCCTCAGCTCAGTTTTGCCTGTCTTTGACCTTTATATAAATTGGACCATCCAGTGTGTGCTCTTTTGTGTCAGGTTTATCTTGTTCAACATTAGGTTGGGGCTGGAGAACATTCCAGAACATGCATATGCCGCATTTGATTGATCTATGCTGCTGTTGGAGGACATCTGAGTTGTTCCTAGTTTCTGCCTATTTGAAGGATGGCTAAGTTCGGCATGGTGGCACAGGCTGGTAAGCCCAGCAATCTGGGAAGCTGAAGCAGAAAGATCAGAAGTTGGAGCCCAATCTAGGCAATTTAGCAACTTAGTAAGAACTTGTCTCAAAAAAAAATTTATATATATATATATATATATATATATATATATATATATATATACTTATATGTAACAATGTGGGGATATAGTTCAGTGTGAAGGTCCCGTGTTCAATCCCTAAAACAAAACAAAACAAACAAAATGCTGCTATGAATCCTTTTGTATGTTTCTCTTTCTGTGGAGTATGTATTTAGGGCTTCAATAAAGCTCCTTTTTTTTTTTTTTGTCTTTTTGAGACAGGGTCTCGCTGTGCAGTTCAGGCTGGCCTTGAGCTCACTTTGTAGCCCAGGCTGGCCTGGAACTTGTAACGATCCTCCTGCCTCAGCCTCCCAAGTGCTGGGATTACAGGAATTTGCCACCACACCCGGCTGCTCTTTCCATTCTAAAAGAAAATTTCCTCACTGTTTTTGCTTCAATCAGCTTTAGTGAAGTATAATTGCATATAATAAAATGCACCCATTTTAATGGAAGACTTTTATAAACCTTTGCACACCACCAAAATCAAGATACAGAACATATCCATCTCCCCAGGAGCTCACCTTATACACCTGTACAATTCCTGTCCCCTGCCCAACCAACCCCTGCAGCTACCGCTTTGATTTCTGTCGCTGTGTATTGATTTTGTCCATTTCCTGAGTCTCCTATAAACAGAATCCTACAGCACGTCCCTGTTTGTGTCTGGCTTCTTGCCCTCTGCACACTGTCCCGGTTGCACCATCCGCTCCTCCAGCTTGCTGCCTGCACCCTTTGCATCGTTCATACTGCTTCTCTCTTCTCCTGTGGGTGGATGCTTTAGCTGTGACCAATTTGGCTATGATCATTCAGGCACAAGACTATGTGGACGCTTCCATTCCTGCTGGGTAAATACCTGCGAGCTGAGTCGCGGGGTCACGGGGTAGGATATATTTAACCTTACAGGAAGTTGCCAAACTGTTCTCCAGTGGGGTTGTGTCCCGCTGCATGCTCATCAGCAGTCGGGGAGAAGCCCCGCTCTCACTGAGTTCTGCTATCTATTCCATCTTAGCCATTCTGGAGGGCTGAAAGGCTGGCCTTGCCTTTTCCTAAAGACTCCAGGTGGGGAGCACCTTTTCATCTGCCTCTTGGCCGTTTGTACAGTCTGTGTGGTGAATGGTCCATTCAAGTTTTTTTATTTTATTTCTCCCATCATGCAGGCCACAGGCCCTGCCTCTGCCATCGACACCTCCAGTGCCTTTTGTTTTGAAACTTCTCAAAAGTTTTTTTCCAGTGTCTACTCCATTGTGCCAGACATGCCTTCCTATACACCACAGTGCATAAGTCACTCTCTTGCTCTAAAACCTGCTACGGCTCCCCAAGCCTTCAGGGCCAAGCTCCAACTTTTCCTGCTGCCATCTGAAGTACCTCCAGACTCTGGTCCCTATCTTTCTCTCCTGCCTTCCCTCATCTTTCCTACAAATCTCCCCAACTCTGCTCCTGCCCCTTGCCTTGAGGAAAAGGAATACCATGTTCCCTTCCTTCTCCCACAGTTAAGTCTACCCCATAACAAGTCCGCCTCTTTGCAGGGGGGCCACCAGCCAGCCCTGCCCCCACAGGGCCTCCTGGCTCCTCTGCTCTTGGCTGGCACTCAGCATTTGCCTTATTTTATTTTTGTATTTTTTGGTGGTACTGG